CAATAGAGAGCCGACAACCAAAGGGTCGTCAAACACCAAGGGGGGACCGCACAAATAAAACACTGCCGAAAACAAAAGGAGCGCAGAAAACCAAGAGGGCACCGAGGACCAAAACGGCGCCGAAAAAGCAAAGAGCGCCGAAAACCACAAGTTCGCCGAGAACCGAAGGAGCGCCGAAAACAGCGCCGAAAACCAAAAGAGCGCCGAAAACCAAGTGGGCGCAGAAAACCCAAAGGAGGATGAAAACCAACAAAGCGCCGATCGAAAAGGTGCGCCAGAAACCAAAGATGCGCTGGAAACCGAAAGGACACCGAAAACCAAAAGGACATCGAAAACCAAAGGAGCACCAAAAACAAAGAGGGCGCCGAAAACCAAAGGGGCACCGACCATCCAAGGGGCGCCGAAAACCAAAACAAATACCGAAAACCCAGGAAGTGCGCCGAAAACCAACGATGCGCCAACAACGAAAAGGGCGCCGAACAAAAACACGGTGGCGCCACAATAAAACCACACGGGGGCCGAAAATGAAAGGGGCGCCGCAAACCACAGAAGCTCAGAAGACGGACAGGGCGCCGCCAAAAACAAAAACAAAAAACCACTGGGGCGCAACAAAAACCGCAGGAACGCCAGAAACTACAGGGATGCCGAAAACCGAAGAAGCGCCGAACACCAAAGAAGCGCCGAAAACCAACTATAAGCCGAAACCCAAAGGGGCGCCGAAAAACCAAATACGCGCCGATAACCAAAAGGGCGTCGAAAACTCAAAGGTGCCAAAAAAGAACGGCGCGCAGATAGCCGAAGGGCGCCCAAAACCAAATTGTCGCCGAAAACCAAAGAGCGCCGAAAACCAAAACGGCGCCGAAAACTAAAGGGGCGCCGAAAACCAAAAGGCGGCCGAACACCAGAGCAGCGCCGAACACCAAAAGGACGCCGAAAACCAAAAAGCACCGAAACCAAAAAAGACGCCAAAAATCAAAGGGTCGTCGAACTTAAAAAGGACGCCGGAAACCAAAGGGGCGCCGAAAATCAATAGAGAGCCGACAACCAAAGGGTCGCCAAACACCAAGAGGGCACCGCACAAAAAAAAACACTGCCGAAAACAAAACGAGCGCCGAAACCCAAAAAAGCGCAGAAAACCAAGAGGGCGCCAAAAACCAAAGGAGCGCTGGAATCCAAGAGGTCGCCGACAACCAACGATGCGCCGAAAACCATGCAGAGTGCGCAGAAAACCAAAAAGGGCAACGAAAATCCAAGGAGCGCGGAAATCCAAAGGAGCGCCGAAAACCAAAGGAGCGCCGAAAACCAAAGGAGCGCCGAAAACCAAGGTAGCGCCAAAGGCCCCAAACGCGCCGAAAACCAAAGAGACGCGGAAAACCAAGAGACATCGAAGACACAAGTACGCCGCAAACCACCTGAGCGCCGAAAACCAAAGAAGAAAAGTAGCTTCGAACCCCCCTTCAGCCAGGGCCAACAAAGGAGGGGAAGGGGGGGTAGCTTCGGAAGCCCCCCCCCCGGAAAGGGGAGCCCAGGCTTACCCCAGGCCCCGAAAAGCAGGTGATGGGGTAGCTTCCAAGCACCCTCTAGCTACAAAGAAGTGCGCCACGAGCGCGCTCTTACACACCTATACACATGCAAAGACATACACGATACACACATCTACTTCACAAAAACATTGCCCCATTTTGTTGCCGCCGAGCTAACCGCCTCGAGCGCCAAAAGGGTTCTGGCTATCTCATCTCAAGTCAGATATGTTGCAGATATTCGAACCCTGTGAAACCCCCACTAGGCCCCAAAGCAGCCTCTCCTTCCTTCAAGACGCCTTCAAAGGGGAGGAAGGAGGCGAAACGAAGAGGACGGAGAAGCGGAGAGCGGAGAAGGCAGGAGGGGGAGAACGAAGCTGAGGACAATAACGGTGTTTTCTAGACTCGCGTCAGTTCAGACAGGGCTTTGAACTGAAGCGAATCTTGAATCCCTCCTCCTTGCTACGCTGCTGCACTGGCACAGTAGCGGGGTTTGCCGAAGGCAGCTAGAAGCTCTGCCTCGCTGACCCTGGCCTCCGATAGACTGCCCGGTAGCAAGAGCGCGTGCTGTTCTTTTCTGCGTACTTTGCGGTTTCGGATTCCGTGCAGACACGCTGCTCTCTTCTATTCGACAGCTTCTAGCCTTGGTCTCGCTCGTCCCTGCATGCTCTTCCGTCGTCTTCTTTCGTAGCAAGTACCCCAGCCACGCAAAGCAACCGAATAGCATTGGAGAGAATGAAAGATGAAAAGAAGGGATGCACACCATCCTCGGACCGGCACGCACTGACTGCACATGGACGGACCTGGCGACGGGAGCAGGTGAACCCCTCAGTGCGCGGCTCGGTTGGGCACTCCTTGGCCGCTCTTAAAAGACTAGCCATATTCGGGAATTCGCCGGCCCAACGGGCCAGAGGCGTGCTGAGATCTCCGGTAACTGGTTAACAATATTTCTGGTGTGCGCGCGCGGAACGGCCCCTGGGGGCCCCCGGACGAAATGTACCCCGATTAGGTCCCGGTCAGGTCCCGGTCAGGTCCCCAGAGCGCTCCAAGGGAGCGCCATTTTTCGACACCCATCACGAGGATCGTGGCCTCCGAGGGGGGGGCCGCAATCGACTACCCCCCCTCCCGCCCCAAGAGGCCCCCAAGAGCCCCCCAAGAGGCCGCCGAGGAGCTCCAAGAGACTCCCAAGAGGTCCCCAAGAGGCCCCCAAGAGGCCCTAAAGAGGGCTCCAGGGCCGGCGGAATGAGCGAAGCGACTAAATAACATGATCGACCCACGAACCCGGAAAGGAATATAGAAATGTAAGGCATGGCAACGTTTCAAAGACACCTGATTGGACGACGGGCAAATGCAATGCTGAATGTATCGATCTTGATGTACTGCGCCGAGGACTGTGCGATGCTACGCCGTGCTGAACTGCGATGTGCCATACCGCGATTGTGCTCTATATAGCGTTGTGGATCGAGTCCTCCCTGGCATCCGAGTCCTGACCGAACTGATCTGGATCTTAAGCTCGAGCTGCCTGAGCAGATGGTAGCTGCCCCAGACCTAATCGACAGAGGGGACATGCCAGGAGGACGCGCCGCGGAACTTCCCGAGGGACGCGCCAGGCGACGTGCCAAGGGACGTGCCATGGGGACGCACCGCGGGACGTGCCAATGGGACGCGCTACGGAACGTGCCAATGGAAGTGCCGCGGGACGTGCTGGGAGACGCGCCGCGCGCCAGGTGGACTCGCCACGGAACGCGCCAAGGAACGTGCCAAGGTGCAATGTTGAGTGTATCGATCTTGATGTACCGTGCCGACGGCTGTGCTGTGCTGGGCCGTGCTGAACTGCGACGTGCCATGCCGCGATTGTGCTCTATATAGCGTTGTGGATCGAGTCCTCCCTGGCATCCGAGTCCTGACCGAACTGATCTGGATCTTAAGCTCGAGCTGCCTGAGCAGATGGTAGCTGCCCCAGACCTAATCGACAGAGGGAACATGCCAGGAGGACGCGCCGCGGAACGTCCGCAGGGACGCGCCAGGCGAAGTGCCAGGGGACGTGCCATGGGCACGCACCACGGGACGTGCCAAGGGGACGCGCTACGGAACGTGCCAGTGGACGTGCACCGCGCGACGTGCCAGGGGGACTCGCCACGGGACGCTCCGCGGAACGTGCCAGGCAACATGCCAGGCTGCAATCCTAAGGGTATCGAAATTGATGTACCGCGCCGAGGGCTGTGCTGTGCCTGGGCGAGATGGGCACGTGAAAACCCGCGTTTCGTTCAAGAAGTTCTCAGCACATCCTTATGCTAGACATCCGCCTGGGCAACCTGGACACGTGCAAACAAGCGTCTCGATCGAGACTTCCTCGACACATCCTCATGCTAGACATCCGCCTGGGCGACCTGGACACGTGAAAACAAGCGTCTAGTTCGAGACATCCTCAACACATCCTCATGCTAGACATCTGTCTGGGCAACCTGGAGGCGTGAAACCAAGCGTCTCGCTGGAGACACCCTTAAGACCTGGGCACGTGAAAACAAGCATTTCACTCGAGAGATCCTCTGAATTCAGGTCCCCAGGAGAGGACAACCTATCACACAAAACAAGCGTTTCGCTCGAGACATCCTCAACAAATTCTGAAAACCAAGCGTTTCGCTAGGGACATCCTCAATTTTTAATTCGCCGGCCCTACGCGACCTCGTTATTTATCGCAAAAGAAAGTCGCCGGCCCTACAGCCGTCAAAACCGGGGGGAAACCAACTAAAAGAGAACCCTGGGCTCAGGCCCTTTCCGGGAAAAATATCAAAAGACCGCAGACAATCCATGTGAAGGGACAGACAACTGAACTAACGTGGAGAAAGAGCAGCAGAAAAGAAGCAGGAAGAGCCTTCGCCTACTCGCTGCTGCGTCTGCTCCCTACTTCGCTTCCCTCTCGCCACATGCACACCGTCCCCGCTGTCGGCGACATTGACTATCCAAGCAAAGCGTTCATCGGACGAACGACTTGAAGTCTTGATTACGCAATGGATGCTTGAGCTCAGAGAGGTGGCAGTTGTGTCTCGCGGGCAGAGGAGCCAAACTGGTCTGCGGGGCACTGCTTTGCGATGACTCCCGTGTAATGTCCTAGGGAGTCCTGCAAGATGCTTGAGGGATCCCCGACGGTTTCCGAGAATTCGCTTTTCCCCTCTCCCCTCAGGAATTAAGTATTTATTTTGTGTATAAACCCTCCGACCCCCTCGGGAATGAATCATCTTATTTCCGCGCGCTAGCGATAACTCTGGGGAGAGCTGCAATTACTCCTTAAGGTCATTAAGTCCCCCTGGACCTCGCATGCAATCGTGTTTTCTACTCGCAATCCGATGCTTAGATGACAACTTTCAGAAAACGACTTCATCCATAACCTATTAACGTGCAGTGGACAACTGGCAAGCGCGCCTTCAACCAAATAAACAAAACTCGGTGCCGCTTCGACCTGCACCCCCTTCCCGTGACGTTGGCGCGGACTGAGCACCGTTGCATATCCAAGAGGCGCTGCAGAGCGAGTTGCCAATGAACAGCCTTCAGGCCCTGTTTTGCCATGCCCCCATCCCTACTCTTACCGGTCGGTGCAAAAGTTTGCGTCCCAGCATGGCGCCCTGCTGTTACTGCTGAGGTATCCGCAGCACCATGCGAATGTTGCCGCACTCACGATGATATACACAACATGATCCCCGAAGAACGCCTCAGTCCTGCTCCATCTTCACTTTGCCGCTTCTTCTTGGACGCACCGCTGAGCTTGGTCGGCCAGCGGCGATAGGAGTCCCTCCGAGGAGAGCGAGGAGCGCCACAGTTGCCCCAGTGCGCCTCAGGCACTAGATTCGTCCATCACGCCCTCTGGCGACGCTCTGCCCTGCGTGCCTCCAAATGCATTCCCATCCCAACTGCCACCGCTTCGAGTCGAACCCCGCCGTGGTGAGATTGTCCCTGGGACGCCTTGCACAAAGGCGTGATAACGACGCTAGAAAGTTGCGGACTTCGTCGAGACGCACCTTCGACACAAAACCATCGGCACATGGAGAACAATCCAAGGCGACCTTGGTCTGGAGCTCTCTCCAGACTCCAGGACTCCAAGGCGCCGCCCGTCGTGACTCTCTCGTGACACCGAAGCCGTGGACCTTCGCTGTTGAGAACCTTCTGATGGGCCTCGCCTCAATCCGAAGGAACCCTGGGTGCACTGGGACCCTTCCCAGGCGGGGCCGCGTGGCCAAAACCCTGGGCGCTCGAAAGGCTGGAGCCCAGCCCCCAGGTTCCCCCCAAGCCCCCTTCTTCTGGCTATATGCTCCTTCTGCCCGAGCGCTGCAAGAGATTGGAGTTGCACCCTAGCCTTGTCTGGCGTTCGGCCACTCTCGCCCCTGAACCCCGCAATCCTGATCGCAGCACCCGCCGATCTCTAGCGACGACCGCTGGGGGAGCCGATCCACGAGGGTCGCTTCGTGCCATGTCTGGGCAGCTGGCGCTTCTGTGCCAGGGAGGGGGGGGAAAAGCGAGGGGGGGAGGGGCGAGGGGGGAGGGGCGGGCGCCAGTGAGTGGCGGATCAGGAGAGAGGGAGGACATGGGGGAATGCGGGCGGTGTCTCTCGAGCTCAGCCGAGGTCCTCCGAAGCCCCCTGGGGACCCTCCGAGGCCAACCGAGAATCTCGAAAACTGGCCCGACGATCCTTGCGCGGGCACAGGCCGCGCACGGGGAAGGGGAGGCCCTTTAGACCTTCGCTTCAAGGGGTGCTCAAGGGGAGCCAAGCCGACCTGGGAGAGAGGGAGGCCTCCCTCCCATCGGCGCCGATGGAACGTCCATGAAGGTCGGCGAGCTCAAGAGCCCAACTTCGGGGTGGTAATGGACGGCCCCTGGCCCTGGTCCCTAACAATTGGGCCCCTCCGGCTCCTCGCTGGAGCCTCCGCTTTGCAGCTCTGCACCGCGCGGGGTATGGTGGGGGGGGGAAGGAAGGGGGTCCCCAAGACCAAGCCTCGAACCTGCAGTACCGGCCCTCCCGCCGTGGCCTTCTCGCACGCGCTGATGGCCGCGGTGCAGCCGACAACGTCTTGGGGCAACAGCCGCCGCCACGCCGAGGCAAGCAACGAGATGGCTGCCTGAGCTGTTTCCCCAGTCTGCGCGCGCACTGCAGAAACTCTTACGTGGACGCTACAGGACTTCGCTCCGTGTGTCGCACTTCCCCTCTTGGCTTCGTAGGTCTTCCGATGACTCCCCAGAGGTTGCCCATAATCACGCTTTAGGGTCAACGCGCTGGCATCATGTTCAGAAAGCAATGGTGCATCAACATAGCAAGGGGGGAAGAGCGTCGCCCGCGCAGCGAACCCGAATGCGCAGGGCAAGGTAATACTCTTGCGTTTGTGCTGGGGCCCTTGGTTTAGAAATGCACGCGCATCTGGCACGGCTCCACGGCAAAAATCCTTACCAACCCAAGCACTGATGCTGCTAGAAATTGGTCTTCGCGCGCAGTGGCCACGACCGTGAACTCGGTTTAGGTTCCGGCGCGAAATCACGTGTCCTCAGGTTAGGGAAAACCAACCAGTGGGAGTTCATGATGCTTGCGCAGGCCCTACACGCCTGTCCACTCTCTCTCTCTCTCTCTTTTCCTCCCTCCCTCTCTCTCTCTCTCGCTAGTTTCTCTCTATGTATGCCTGCATATATGTATTTCTTGTTTTTTGTTTATCTCTCTCTCTCTCTCTCGCTGTACCTCTTCTGTTTACTTCACATCCCCTTTCACTTGTTGTGCACTCTACTATCCACAGCATACTCTAGATGGTTGTTTGCTTGTTTGTGGAAAACTGTTTGTGTTATCTCTCTTTCTCTCTCTCGCTGCCTCTCCCTCTCCCTCTCCCTCTTTCTCTCTCTCTCTCTCTCTGTCTCTCTTTCTCTCTTTATACGTGTGTATGTGTGTATTCATCTTAAATGGCCCATGCTTTCTATTAGCCACTACCAATGTGCACGATCTGAAGTGTCAGTACGACATGTCTCTACTACTTCTCTGAATGTCCCACTCTCTCTCTCTCTCTCTGTAAATATGATCATCACTCTACCCCCTGCCAAAGTTCATTTTCTCAGGCACGTCTCAGCGCATAGAGACAGTTCAAGAGAGCGAGCGTCGGGCAGTGCGGGCCGGCGCCAGTCAGCGCGGGCCAGCGACACAGAACGACCGTGATACAAGACTCTGAGCCCCGTGAGGGGGCAAAGTGACGCCCAGACAGGTGGAAGATGGGGACGGCTGGCGGGTCCCAGAAAAAAGCTTGAGCATAGATTGCGATACGCGGCAGTCCAGCGAGCGAGAGACCATTATCGCGCAAGCACCGTGCATGATCATAGCTCTACCCCCTGCCAGGGTTCATTTTCTCAGGCACGTCTCAGTGCATAGAGACAACTCAAGAGAGCGAGCGTCGGACAGTGCGGGCCAGCGCCAGTGAGCACGGGCCAGCGAGACAGAGCGACCGTGATACAAGACTCTGAGCCCCGACCCACTGCCTTAAAGTGTCTTGGCTTTGGCCACCACCAGCTCAGCCAGATCTTTGCAGAGCGCCGGCGGGTATGGGCACGCCCTCGCTGTCCACATCACGCCGAGAGGGTCTTTACCCTTCAGCGTGATGTGACTCTTTCCTGTGACATTGCATCTTTGCTGAGAGCCTGAGCAAACGCGGAGGGACGGCTGGGCTGGCAGTCACTTGACAAGCAGAAAAGTGGTCGACTTTCTCCAGGGAGCGTTGTACTGGCAATAATCGACATGAGCCCATTCAGCCTTTGCGGTGTGGGCCAGATCTAGCAGTTCAGGGACTAGCCACAGGCGAGACGATCGAGGGTTCTCGAAGGAAAAAGGGACTTCTGCCTCAATGGTGGCCGCAAGCAGGCGCATAACATTAGCTAGCAAGCGATTTGCAACCGATGCTTTCTCAGCGTCCGCCGCCGAAAGGTGCTCTGGGCCATATGCATGCACGTCATCCCTGAACGGGGGCGGCCCTCGACCACGTCTTACAGCCCAGACCGACGTGCACTCCAGCGACCGCCTTTCGAGAGATCCTCATGATCAGGCGATCGACGAGCCCGCCATGAAGAAGATCGGCTCCTGGGCCGTCAGCGTGGCCCCAGCCCTCCGCAGCCCGGCCGGCGGCATGGACTGCCCTGGCCAGGTTGGCGGAGCCGCGCATGAGCTCGACGAACGGCTTGGCCCGTGCCCGGGCGGCCGCTTATATGTAGAAGGCGCGCGGCGGCGCGTGCTCGAAACCCGCGCGGGGCGCTGGGCAGAGGGCGGTGGGGCCGCGCTCGCTCGTGCGAGCGGAGCCACCGGTCGCTCGAGCTCGGCGCGCAGTCTGCGGGGCGCCGCCTCGGCACGGCGGCGGGCGTCGTCTGGGAGGGGCACCAGCTCCTGCTGTACCATGGCGCGCGCCTCGTACCTCTTCGTGGTGTAGTCGCTGGCCCGCCGTCCGCGGGCCTTGATCTCCGCCGCGGAGCGGCGGCGCATGAGGCGGTCGTGCGACGGCCCGCCGTGGCGGAGCTGGCACGGCACGCACTTGGTCGGCATTCCTGCGAGCGCCAGCGCTTGGCGCCAGAGGAGGCCGAGCTTCGCGGCCGTCAGCCCGAACAGCGGGGCGCGCGGATCCCCTGATCGGGCGCGAACCAGCAGCGGGCCCGGCCGCGGCGCCTCGGGAGAGTCGAGGGGCAGGCTCTCGTCGGAGAGGGTGGTCTTGCCGCACTCGCCCCCGGCGCTGGGGCGCAGGTTGAAGCCGCAGTCTTTCGACGAGCCCCCAAGGAAAAATAAGTCCTGCTCACGGGGCCCGACGGCCTCGGAGGGCCCGAGGTAGGCCCAGAACATCGTCGCCACTATCAGCGCTGCGCGCGGGGCGGCCAGCTGCGTGGCCATCGCGAGGGCCACGAGCGCCACAGTCTGCCGCGGCGTCGGCGGGCGGGTCTGGCCTGGGCCCGGGCGCCTCCAGCCCTGGATGGCCCGACAGAAACGCGGCAGGCGGAGCGACCCCTTTTCGGGAAAAGTCGGGGCGCTCCGAGATGCAAGCGACATACGTCTTCAGGACGACGGCCCTCTCGAGCCCAGTGTTCCAGGCGTAGTCGGCGTAGCTCGTCAGCGCTAGGTCGACCTGGGCCGCGGCGCGCAACGGCGGAGCGTGGAGGTCGACGAACACCTGGAAGTCGTCAAGGGCCTCCTTGTAGTAGGCCTGGGTCTCTGGCGTGACCGCGTTCCACTCCAGGAAGCTCCGCTCGCCCCCCCTCGCCATCGCGAAGGGGCGCGAGGCGGGGGGGCGATGTGCAACCCTCTCCTCCTTGGTGGCGCCGACGAACGGCCTGCCCTGCAAGAAGCCCTTCTGGACTATCCTGGGGCTGGCCGCCGGGCGCCTGGCCGCCGCGCGGGGCAGGCGAGACGCCCCCCGACTTTGCGCCCCAGCGCCTCGACCCTTCATCAGCGGGGTTGAGCTCCGAAGGTACCCAACGGTGCTCGGACCGCGACGCAGCGGCGACGGAGCCGGCCGCCTGGCGGCGGCAGGAGTGGGAAAGATGAGCAGCGCCTTCGACCGAGCGCCAGCACGGTGCCCAGGTTGTCCCCGAAACGGAAGTGGCGGAGCCCAAAAGTGCCCCGGGCTCTCATGATTTGCCGCGACGTCATGTTGGAGGCCCTTCACTCTACGATCGCGATGGCTCCCTTGACGTGCACCCTGGCCGAGACGGCCTGCTTCCACTCGGGGCCTTGTAAAGCCTCGCGGGGCACCTCCGTGAAGTGCGGGTTGAGTTCCCAGGGGTCCTCGACGTGGTCCTCGTTGGTGAGCCTGGGGGCCTTGGCGGCCTCGACGTCGGCGAAGACGTCGCGCGGCCCCTCCGAGGCCTCATCCACCTCAGCAGCCCCAACTCCCAGAGCAGACCGGCGTGCCAAGATAGCCGAAGGCATGCGATATCTCCACCTTTCGCTGACGGGCCCGATGCGCCTGACAAGACCTGATGAGATGGACGTCTGGCAAGCGGCCACACCTGTTTGACAGGCGTCGTAAGCGAAAACCGCGGGCGACCACTGAAGTCGCAGGTTCGCCGACATCAGAGGGAGCAGGCGACGCCGCTGCTCGACTTCGCGGGCAGCGGAAGGCCGGAGACGGTCGAGCACGTGGTAGCAGTCCCTGACAAAATCGCACAAACTCCTGAGAATCGATAGCAGCTCCCTCTTCAACATAAAGTGATCGATAAGATGCCCCACATACCTCTCCACCTCCCTGCCCGTGACTCTGGGGCGCTGCTCCAGCCGCATAGAGGCCTGGCGGAGGCGCTCGGTGCGCTCAGGGCGCGAGAACACGCCCGGAGGAGCCGTCGATCAGGTGGCCGAGGCCGGAACGTCGGATGCCTCGACCACCTCGTGGATCTCAGCGCCATGCTTCCCGCGGGCGTCGCAGATCAGGTGCATCGTGGTGTTGCGTCTGTCTGGGCCCGTGCCGATCGCGCTGATGTTATCGCAATAAGGTAAGAGGCACGGGGCTCCCCCATCAAGAGGGGGCACGGGGCCGCGATCGGCCAGCGCCCGCGGGGCCCCGAGCCCCGAGGCCGAGCGGCAGACGTGCGCATTGGCACGCTGCCCGAGCCAGAAAGCCCAAAGACCCCCCCATCGGGGCGACGCGGAGGGAGGGCCAAACCAAGCCCCCAGACGGCCCCTCGGGAGAGTCCACTGCCTCGACCCCCCATTACGACAACGAGGCCTGGGAAACCGGCGGCAGGGAAAAGAAGAGACCGAGCTCCTCCCTCAGGCCGAGTGCGTAGAAGTAGTTGCGCACGTCCGCCTGGGCACAGAAGAGCTCGGTGCTGCAGCCCCCCGCCTCGCCACGATCATCAGGAAGTTGCAGGCGACCATGCGCCGCCGATGTCCCCGTGGCCAGCGGCGGCGGGTCACGAAAACGACGATTGGGCACGCGAGCGCCCCAGACGAGGCGCCGGGCCCCGCCCTTCCTGGCCACGAAGAAGGGAGTGACCAGGTCTTTCGGGCGGCGCGTGAAGCCCAGCATGTTAGCCCTAACCAAGTCGCCGATGAAGGTCTTATAAGCAGCTGGGTCACGCTTCAGAACTTCATCCATGTACGGGGTGACGGGCGGCTCGCTGTCCAGGGCACGGGGCCACTCGTCAGGAGTCTTCATCATTGTCTGCTCGTAGTCCAGCACGTAGCTCTCCCCGATCTCATCGAGCACCGACTCGACGGGAGGCATGGCCGCACCCACTTCTGGGGCGCCGACACGGGACCTGGCGCACCGCGCCACTGGACTCGGCGCCTCGCCCACGGCGTAGGACAGGCTGGAAGCCAGGAGCTCCTTGGCGGCCCCGCGGCGAGAGAAGTGAGAGTCAGACTTTGGGGCCAGCCTGACCTCGCGACGAATTGCGGCGGTCGCCGGGCGCTGAGCCGCCGCGAGGGGCCCGCGCTGCTCACGCGGAGGGTGGAGTGCGTTGAGCCCGCCAATGACAACATTGGCACGCTGCTCCGTCTGCCGCCGACGTGCCAACCTCTGCCTCGTGGGCGACGAAGCTGACGACAAGCTCGGCGGAGCCGGCTGAATTGAGGGCAGCGGGAAGAGATCACGCTGACGATCTGCCGCTGCCCCCAGGCCGGAAGGGCCCCGCAGGTGACCCTCTGCAGGCTGAGGACTGCCTGCAGTGGCCTGTTGTCCGTCGCTGGACGGCCGCCCCCCGCGACCCGAGGGCGTCGTGAGCCTGCGCCATTCGGAGCCGCCGGCGTCGGTCTTCCCGCCGCCCTTGCCACGGCGCAGCTTCTACTCCTCCTTCGCCTTGCGGGCCCTCCTTCAAGATCGCAGCTCGGTCGCGCATGGCAGTGGCAACGTGCTGCTGCTGGTCGGGCGCGACGGCGGCGCCCTGGCGGTGGGTGGCCGCCCAGCCCATGTAGTCGTCTGCGGCCGACTAGTCGGGGTTCGAGGGCGACACCGCGTGCGCGTCCTCGATGAGCTGGATCCTGCGGCAGATCAGCTCGGCGCTCTGCAGCGCGGGGGCGTTGAGCTGGTCGACGGTGACACTCGAGTCCAGCACCCTCGTCAGCACCTCATGCTCGTGCACCGAGCGGTCGCCGTCGGGGATGTGCCCTGAGCGGAGCCAGTTGGCGTGGTGAGTGATAGGCGTGAGCCCAGCATCCCTCCACGACCTCAGCACCCACGCGCAGGCACGGGGCCCCGACAGCATGACGCCGCCCTCGGGCTCGTCGCCGACCTGGATGTCCACCGCCTCGCTGAACGGGCGGCGCCGAACCCTCTCCTGGTTGAAGCGGACGGGCAGCGCGCGCAGGTCGTCCACCACGAACGCATCGACCTCCGCCACGGGGACCTGTCGCGCCGCGACGAAGCCCCCCGCATGCGGGACGAGCGCCATGTCGCCGTGCGTGGCCGATTCGTCGGGCAGGGGGTCGGGCAGACTCACTCCCCGCCTGAGCCCGCGATGGTCCTCCGTCTCGAGCCAGACGGTGCCAGCGGCGGCGGGGGCGGCAGCCGCCCCTGCTCGGGGCATCTCGCCATGCTTGCGCCTCAACAGCTGCAGCTGCTCCCGCGCTCGGTCTCCGACTCCAGCTGCCTCCACCCCGGGCGTGCGGCCGCGCCTCCACGCGGCGCCGCTCAGCCCAAGGCCCGCCCAGAGCCCTGCCAGGCCCCCCCACAGGGCCGAGGGCACGTCGAGCCCCTCGGGTGGCGGGGGTAGCCCTGCCAGCGGGCAGGAGAGGTTGACCAGCGGAGCAGGGCACGCTGGCGGGGGGCAGACGTACGCAGGGCACACCTGCGGCGGGCAGCTGACGTTCGCGGGCGGGCACGCCAGCGAGACCGCAGGGCACGGAGGCACCGCGGAGATCAGGGTCTGGCGGATGGCCAGCAGCTCCAGAGCGCGTATGCCAGCGGCCTGGAGGGTCTCGGTGAGGCCCGCTGGGACTCCCATGGGAACTCTTCCCGGAAAAAACTTCAGCATAGATTGCGATATGCGGCAGTCCAACGAGCGAGAGATCATTATCGTGCAAGCACTGTGCATATAGAAGTATACACACCAGCATGATATATCCGTAAATCTATACACATATACTACCATATCTATATATACATCCCAACTGTACTCCAATACAAATACGTACACATAGCTGCACATGTCTGATCGTGGTCGCAACAATCCTCCTTGTTAAGACATTTACAAATGTAGATGCATATGCATGCAATGATGTCGCTCTTTCTCTCTCTCTCTCTCTGTGCCGCTCATCAGTCTATCTGGTTATATCTGTATATGTATACACATATATATGGTACTACCCTACTTCCCCTATGTCACTTGGTATGCATGCACTGTACCCTCGGGTACAACAAAATGAGATCTCTCTCTTTCTCTAAGGGTATGTTTGCTTGTGTGTTGTTATATCTCTCTCCCTCTCACATCTGTACACGTAAAAACATATCGCCACCGTGCCTCTGGCACGGAGTGGAGTGCCCTGACGCTTATGCATCACTGAGGAGGTAGACGCGGCGCTGCTGCTGCTGCAACGAGACTTGTAAGTCTTTAGGGCCTGGCCGGGCCCAAACAAATCGGTTCCCAAGCCGTCCTGCGGCGTCTTGGGGGCCTCTTGGGCCGTCTTGGGGCCCTCTTGGGGGCCTGCTGGACCGTCTTGGGGCGGTCTTTGGGGCCTCTTGGGCCGTCGTCAACGCCGTGAAAGAGGACAAGCCGCATATGGCAAGAAGGTACGTTTCCCGATCGGAATTCCATACTTTTGGCCTCTTGGGGCCCTCTTGGGACGCCTCTTGGGGGCCTCTTGGGGCTCTTTGGGGGGCCCTTTGGGGTCTCCTGGGAGGTTCTTGGGGCGAAAGGAGAGACTTTTCAATTCGTGGTCCCCCTCTTGGGGCCGTCTTAGGGCCCTCTTGGGCCGTCTTGGGCGCCTCTTGGGCCGTCTTGGGGCCCTCTTGGGCCGTTTTGGGGGCCTCCTGGGAGCCTCTTGGGCCGTCTTGGGGCGGTCTTGGGGGCCTCTTGGACCGCCTTCAACGCCGTGAAAACCGAAACGCCGTATATGCTAAAACTGTACGTGTTTTTTTCATTAAACAATCAATGCATTTGGCATATTGGGGGCCTCTGGGGGCGCCTCTTGGGCGCCTCTCGGGGCGCCTCGGAAGCCTCTTGGGCCGTCTTTGAGCCGTCTTGGGCATGTTGGACCGTCTTGGAGCCGTCTTGGACCCCTCTTGGACCGTCTTGAGCGCCCAAGAAGCGCCCAAGAGGGCCCCAAGACGCCCCGAGCGGCCATTAGGTCCCATCCCTCCGCCCCTCCCCCCCTCTGCACTATCCCTAGAGGACTTCGCCCAAACACAACGTCATCACTTGTACCTGGCTCTTTCCGTTATCCAACTCCCCCTAATCCCACCAGCCCTCTGGGCGTCGGTGGTGGAGGGAGTTTCCTCTTCCACCTCTCCTTGCCCTTCGGCGAGGGGTTAACCCCTCCCCCTACCCCTCCCCATGGACCTGGACGGGGGGGGTCGCGAGTCGTCAGAGCGTCCAAAACGGCCTCGGCGAGGAAGCCAACATCATTGATTTTACTACGATTTTGGCCCCATGTTGGCCCCTAATTGAAGCTCCCCTCTTGTTTGATCGATCTCCTCCAAGACGGCCCCAAGAAGCGCCCAGGAGGCCCCAAGAGGTCCCAAGATGGCCCCAAGATGGCCCCAAGAGGCCCCCAAGAGGCCCCCAGGAGGCCCCCCAGAGACCCCCAAGAGGCCCCAAGAGACCCCCCAGAGGCACCCAAGATGCTCCAAGAGGCCTCGGCGAGAATGCCAAATCATTGACTTTACAAAGGTTTGAGTCACATGCTGGCCTCTTGGGGGGGGCACTGATTAAGATGACTCCAAGAGCGCCTGGGAGAGCCAAAGATGATCTCCAAGATGGCTCAAGATATCCCAAGATGCCTCAAGATGGCGCCCACGGTGCTCCAAGAGGCCCCAAGACCGCTCCAAGACGGCTCCAAGTGGCCAAAGAGCTCCCCCAGGAGGCCCCGAAGATGCCAAAACCCTTCCAAAACCTTAGGAAGGCTCCAAGATGGCTCCAAGATGGCCCAAGAGGGCTCCAAGAGCGCTCCCAAGGCTCCCGAGAGCGCTTCAGGAGGACCCCAAGAGGCGTCCAGGAGGCCCCAGGAGGCCCCAACAGGCGCCCAAGAGGCCTCCAAGAGGCTCCCAGGAGAACCCCCAAGAGGTCCCAAGAAGCTAGCTCTCCGAGGCACCCAAGACGCTCTAAGAGGCGTCTGGGACGGCCCCCAAGACGCTCCAAGAAGCCTCCACTGGGGGACCCTTCCTCTGTGTGCTGCCCGCTTCCCTGATCGAGGCAATTCCTCTGGGCATCGTTTCTGGATGGGCTGGTGGGGATTCTTTTTGGTCGCGGCCGCCAGCGAAGAGGCAGGCGGCGAGCAGGGTGTCCGGGCCAACTGGCAAGCCTAATTAGCTACAAGAGGCGCCGCTAGCCGGCCGGCCCACTCACAAAGCAGCCGCGAGGCTGTGGGGGAGCTGACGGCGGGGGGCATCCTGGGAAGCTCGGGCACGCGCAGTGGACAAAATGTCGAGGAATTCGATGCCTGCCGTGAGGCATGACCCACACAGTGACATGACGTGTACCGGAGCAACCGTGTCCGTCATTCTGAGTGGGGGCAGGCGCGAGGCCCGAGGAGCGAGTCGCCAGTGGGGCGCCAGGCTCCAACCGTCCCAACGACGTGTGCTGGCTAGGGGACCTGAGCTGCTGAGGAACGTGGAGCGACGCAACCTGCCGGGAGCGGGGGGATGAGCCTGAGGTGCTGCTGCTGCGAAGGGCTGAACTACTCCGCGGCAAACTCAACACCCGCAAGTCCACCAGACAGTGCATGTGGGAAACCAGGACGACCGCGAGCCGGGCCCGTGGGCAGCGGCACGGCGCCGGCCGCCAGACCAGGGGGGTGAGAGGAGAAGGCCAGACAGGCGTGGTGAGCATCGCCAGCGAGGCAGGGGAATCCAGAGGGGTGCTGCACTGAAGGTGGGGCTGCCGCCTGAAGTAGCTGGTGGGGATTCACGAAGCGTCGACAATTTCATTTCTTCCGACCAACGGATCGCACGCTACGCGCGCTTTCCGTCACCCTGCGATGCAGATGCCACCCCCTCAAACTCCCCCTAGTTTCACTTCTTCCGACTAACGGATCGCACGCTACGCGCACTTTCCGTCACCCTGCGCCCTGTCTTGCCTACCCCCCCCCCCTGTGATTTCTTCCGACTAACGGATCGCGACGCAAACGCGCTTTCCGTCATCTGGGGCCCGGGCTGCCTACCCCCCACCCCCCCTTTTGATTTCTCCCGACTAACGGATCGCGACGCTTCGCGCGCTTTCCGTCATCCGCCGCCCCTTTTTGATTTATCGCAGGGGCGACTGCCGTGCTGAACTTCTTAAACACGCGTAATCGTTTTTGGAAGTCCCCCTGGGCCTTCAGCCCAGCGCGCCGGCCACCGGAAAAGCCGCCGAAAATTCAGCTCTCGTGGGCCGACTCGCCTCCAAAACGGCCATGATGGCGCCCAGAATGCCTCCAAGACGGCCAAGATGGCCCCAAGAGAGTCCAAGATAGCCCAAGATGGCCTCCAAGACGGCCCTAACCTGTCTCCAAAACCGCCACGATGGTCCAAGACGGCCCACGAAGCGCCCAAGAGGCCTCCAAGACAGTCTCAAATGCCTCAACGAGGTCCTCCTGGAAAGCCCGAAGCGGCCCAAATCCTTGATTTCCCGCGTGTGTTTTAAAGAATTGCTGCATTTGCTTATTTCTGGCCTTCCGACGGCCCAAGACGGCCCAACAGCCCCCAAGATCGCCCAAGAAGCCTCCAACGTGGCTCCAAAATTGTTCCAGGGCCGCGAGACGGCCCCAAGAGGGCCCCAAGACGGCCCAAGAGGCCTCCAAGACGCCCAAGATGGCCTCCAAGACGGCCCTGAAGCGCCCCAAGAGGGCCCCAAGACGGTCCAAAGAGGTCCCCAAGACGGCCCCCGACGGTGTCAGACGGGCCAGGGAAGCCCTAAGACGGTCAACGAGCCCCCCAAAGAAGCCCCCAAAGGCCCCGAAGAGGCCTTCAAGAGGACCCCAGGAAGCTCTCATGAGGCCCCAAGAGTGACCCCAAAAGCTCGCAAGAAGTCTCCTCATCCTTCTCCTCATCCTCCGTTTTCCTCCCTTTTCCTCATCCTCCTCTTCCCCCCCCACGTGATCCCCGAACGGTTTCCGCAACTGCTCGGGGAACGCATGGTCCAATAGTGTGGCCAAGCTCGGCTTAAACGTTTGGCCACACAGGCGCACCCTGAAAGAAAGGCAGGGGGCGGCGGTGATTCGCCGCAGGCGTCTGCGATATCTACCTATCATCCACTAGTATCGCCGCAAGCGTCTCCCTAATATCCACTATCATTATGGCCTTGGTCGCGGTTGGCCGCAACCAAGAAACGGACGCGCCGCCCGAGATCAGGAGTCACATCTTCGCCCGCAGGGCCGAGGCGGACCGCGACTCCTTCGCCGCCCCATTCCACGGGCACCCGCGCCGCCGCGTGGATGTAGATCGCGACGCCTGATCCGAACCGATAGGGCTCGCGCCCCTACGCGACCGTGAGCTCGCATCCCCGCGACTTCTGGACGCACGGCGACAGCCGCCTGTGCCCGGAGGGGCCCGCCGCGGACTTGGCGCGCGCCGTGTCGACCACGATCGATCAGCCACAGCTCGTCGCCAGTCTCGGCGATCAGCGCGCTCCGCGGGTCCACGAACGCGGGCGCCTCCTCCGACGTCGGCTCCGCGTCTCCGACGGGCTGACTCGCCGCAGCCACCGGCCTTCCCCCGCCCTTCAATCCCTCGGGCCCTCGGGCGCTCCAGGCCGCCCTTCCTGCACCCCAGGCGCCCGCGGCGCTTGCGCGGAAGAGTGTGCTTAAGCCT